AATTAACATTTTCAACTTTTTTTAATTTATATGTATAAAAAAAAATGCATCCAGGTGCATGTCTTTTTATTCATGCTTTTTTTCTTTGATTTTCGTGTCCAGCGTCGAGTCTCTTCTTGATGTTTGGCGGGGGTGACCGCCGACGAGTTTGGGCTGAGGTCGGGGTTTGGGGGTCTAGGCCTGATCCAGTTGGGTTGTCTCGGGGTCTGTCTGTCTTAGGGATCTAGGAAAAAGGGCTCCGTTTCTAGTCACCGCGTCCCTTCCGTCTCTGGTGTTGGACGGGGGTGATCGCCGCCGAGCTCAGGTTGAGGACTGGGATTCAGTATTTGGGTTTGATCTTGTTGGTCTGTTATGGGCGGTTGGTGGCGTGGGTCTCCGGGTCTCGAGTATCCGTCTGGGCGCGGCTTGGGTTCATTGGTGTTTTTGGCCAGTTAGGCGTTTAGTTGGCAGTTTCTGGTTCGAGCTCCTAGGTCGTAGCCCTATCTGTATGGATGGATGTTCGTTGACGTTGTCGTGGGATGGCTTGGTGTTGTTGTCTGCTATGGTAAGGGTGGTGTTGTTGTGTTTTTTCTTTTGTGTTTTAGGTGTGTTGTTTGTGTATAGGCAGTGTTTTTCCTTCTTTCTCTCTCGTTGGGAACGCGTTTTGCGTATTCTCCTATTAAGAGCTTTTGTTTAGACATGGCCAAAATCCGGGCCGAGTCGTGCCCGCCGGGTCGCCGGGCTCAAAAACAATGACACTAAACCGACACGGACCTATACTCGTGCCGGGTCCGTGTCCGGGCTGGGTCGTGTCCGGGCCGTGCCGGGTTCGGGCCGGTTCCGTGCTTTTTCTAAAAAATAATAGAAAAAAATAAAAAAAAAATGAAAAGAAGGGTCGTCGACCCGGCCCGGCCCTGACCCTCCGGGCTGGGTCATCAAATGGATGACCCTTACACGGCCCGTCTGAAATCCGGGCCGGTCCCGGACCCTTGGTCAGCGGGTTTGACCGGGCCGGATCCGTGCCGGGTCAGGGCCGGGTCGCCGGGCCGGGTGACCCTTGGCCATGTCTACTTTTGTTTGTTTATTTCCCTGTTGGGAGCTTTCATTTGTCTTTTTTAGTGAGTGAGTTGTGGTAGGTTTGGTTTTAGAGCACTCGGTTGTGGGTGTCTCTCTCTATTAGAGTCAGTATGTGATATAATATTCTCTATCGTTTTGGGAAAAAAAAATGAATAACTCTTTTTTCCGCATGCATTATTATTACTAGTAATCATCATGTGCATATACACAAATTTAAATAAAATATTATAAGTTATACTTAGAATATAATATTAAATTATAAATTAGATAATGAACATACCACATTTTTAAAATTTAAATCATTACTAAAAATAAAAAAATAAAAATAAAAATTATTTAAGTATATATGAATCAGTATAATGATTGAATAAAGTTTTGAGGATAATGTAATTTTTATTTTTGAGGGATCATAGTCAATTAATTTAGTTTAAAATTAATTATTATTATTATTATTACTATTATTATTATTATTATTATTATAGCAATAATTATTTATAAGATTTTAGGGTGGTTTGACTATGCTATTAGTTTTATTAGCTAATTTTGTAAAGAAAATTGTTTTTTGTAATACAAAATAATAATTAAAAAGCAAATAATATTGATTTTAGAATAAAGAGCTTGAACAAAAACATTTGCAATGCAACTTTTTTATACTTATTTAATTTTTATATAACATTTGGTGTAAATTATTATTAGCTGGTGGTTGATGTACAAAATTGTACACCCAAATATTACTTGAATTTTGGAATATTTGTGAAGAACAAAAAGAACAAAGATGAAGCCTCTTTTTCTTTGATATTCTGAGAGAATATTTTGTGACCTCATTTCTTGGGGATTTCATTTGGATAAGATCTCCCCTACAATCATTCTTGACAAGCATATATATAACATAACATATGGACATAAAATAATAAGGAATAAAATAATATAAATGATATTCTAATGTGGTGTGACTGCGTAGAGCCCAATTATAATACTTGACGGCTTCGATAGATGTTTGTCTGGTCGGTAGTGTGTGTCCTCGAAAGACGGCTTCTTTACTGTATGCGGGTCGAGCTGGTGATATTAAATTATGCTCGACTCGAATGTAGATGATCTTGATGTTTGAGGACTCGGTCGATATTAAATGATCAGCTCGGAAGACTTGTTATTTATTTATTTATTTATTATGTATTATAGCCCATGTTTATTTTGCCACGTGCCGCTCTTTGATCGATCGCAACCAAATTGAGTATCAACACTGATATTAATATTAACTATTGTATAATATAATATTAAAAAATATATGATTACACTTAATTAAAATACTTGTAACGGTTTTCTACCATGAGTAGCTAAAAATGGGTGGAAAACGCTACTAATTAAGTTGAATAAAATAAAAGGAAAACAACTATGATTAATGATAAAAAAATTTGTAACTTCTTTTGGCGAAAATCAAAAGTGTTTTTTATTAATTTCTCTGCCAGTTATTATTATTATTATTATTATTATTATTATTATTATTATTATTATTATTATTATTATTATTATTATTATTCTCTTGTATTTATATGTTCGTGCTGTCGCTATTGCTAGGTGTATTGAAAAAGTATATGAATGTGATTACCTACTATTGAACTGACCATCTCTAAAAAACGACGATCTCCACGTATAGTTTTGAACATGTAAATAAATAAATGAATTAATCTTATCACCATGTAAATAAATAAATACTAATCTTAAATATATACATATATATATATATATTTACAATTAAGGGCTATCCCATTAATGCTAAATTTTTTCATTTCCCGCTCTTTTTTTGGAGGGATTAGTTATGATAAAAAAAATTCTTTTCATTAAAGTATAAAAATTCAACTAAGAGTCATTAATATAACAATTAAATTATAAATGTGATATATACTATTATATAAATTTTTATTTTAATTAAGGTTTCTATATATACTATTTATTTATTTTTAGTAACATGTGCATGTGCACAGGATTAATACTAGTTATATATGATTTAACTGAAATATTAAAAGAACGAATCATTTATTATGCTTTAGTTATTATTAAATCATAAGAATTTAAGATTATTTAGAATATTATGACAACTAGTAATCAACCTTTGCTTTTGCATGAAAGGCAAAATATTAGAAGATTAAGCATAGCAAAATTATAATGCAAAGTAAAAAAAACTAAGTTACTGCATGAAAAATTAAAAATTAAGAAAAGAATTCTAAATATGATTAAAAATTTCTTTATATACAACGTCTTGGTCATCAGAATTTCCATCGCCACAAATTAATATCCTCACACATTTCCAAGTTGTGACTCTAGAAAGAACTATGTACAACTGTTTATGACTGAAAAACAGAGTATTAACCAAACGTATGCCGCTGCACAACCCCATAGAATGATCAATGTTCCTCGACAACACCACCTGAGTGTCGACCTTCAAGTACAATTGATGATTCGACAGTTTCGAGCACTTAATCTGATTCATAAATTCAGGCATGTGAAGATCGTGAAGAGAGTCATGTCCAGCATATGACTTGCTAGCGGTGTCTGAACTCAAATAAGTTCTTACCTCGGAGGAGTTCAATGAGCTCATGTACTCGTTAACGAGCTCAACGACATCAATTGTGGGAGTAAGTATTGCTCTGTACTTCATATAGCAAAGATCTTCACCTGAACTCCTGAACATTGGGTAGGTACTCTCAACAATGGTGGCAATATGACCCCCTTGTTATTTCAGAATAGTATCATCGAGAATGTCGATATTGGCAAAGCCGTCGTTCGATCCACCGAGTGGTCCGTCTCAAATGCTAGCAAGCCAATCTGAGAAGCTTATCAGCTCATCGTACACATCACCAACACCAAGGCTTCGAAGCCTCATATTCTGAGTCAATCTCAGGACGGTATTATCCCGCCACAACTTAGATGAATAGATCGTTACATTCACTATGTCACTTCTGCTTCCTTTTGGGGACAACATGAAGAAATTATTTAAAATCTCAACAATAAATGACAGACTTGCCGGAAACCGGGAGATTATTCTTTGATGGATCCACTACTTCCGTTAAGGCTCGTAAGGTATTGTCAACCGACTGGAAGCAATACTTATTCATCATTGGGACATCATCCCAAATGATCAAGTGACATCGTATAATCAATTTTGCCAAAGGACTTTAAATTACTGGCTAATGTCATACGAAGATCCTTCCATTGGGTTTAATGAGATTTTAAATCGAGAATGCGTAGTGCGTCTACCGGGTAGCAAAGTTGACACAGTACCGCTTGATGCAACATTCAACGCAATTTCGCCCTTAGACCTCAAAGTAGAATACAATGCACTCTAGACATAGGTTTTACCAGTGCCTCCATAATCATAGACGAACAATATGTGCCTATGATATCATCCGACCTCAGGGGGGTAGTGTACGGGGCATCAACCGAACTGCTAGAATCCGTACCCAATATAAGACAGTCTGTTCGAGTTTGTGTCTACTATTGACGGAGGAAAGGGAACGGTTCAAACGGACGGGGCGACTACTGATCATAACCACTTCGACGATCGGTTCGGACGAATAAATAAGGGACCTATATATTCGGCTAACATGAATCATGTCATTGGATCATCCTTACGATATCCATTGATGATGATGGGATGCGAGGCCTCACGATCCGACGGTGCCAAATCAATCAGGACAAGTGTTACAAGCCGGAGTCCCAACCCACATCGAGATTAAGTTAGTAAAATACTAAGCATTTAATGTTGATGTGCCATAATATCCTTGGAATATCTCGAATATAAAAATGTAATTAAAAATCCCGAAGGTGTATTATATCAATACCTTAGATTTCTTATAAAAGGAAGGAGAGGCGACTAGATGTGGCCAAAGCCCGGACCAGTTCACGGCCCGACCCGCCCTGCCGGGTCGGCGGGCCTCAATTGCTGGGCCCGTAACCGGTCCTGCTATATCTAAGGGCCGGTTCAAATGAATCGGCCCGACTCGGCGGTTCAATGAATCGCCGGTTTAAAAAAAAAAATTTAAAAAAAATTTACAAATGTGACCCGTCGGAAAATCCTGGCCGCATCGACGGTCAGAAAGGAGTACAACACGACCCTTAACCGGGCTTAAGGGGTTCCGGGCCGGTTCAAAATCGACTTTACGGGGCTGGTCCGGGTCGGTTCATGGGCCGGGCCAACCCGTGGCTATGTCTAGAGGCGACATTTAATGCAAGTGAGAATATTTCTCTCATTAATGATATATACATAAAAATACGAACAAGACCTCCATTCGGTCCAATATCGTAAAAATATTACTGTCGTTCCAACTGAACTGAGTACTTCAAGGAGAGTATAGTTCATTTTTTTGTTGTTGACATTTTCATACATCAACAAGAAGTGTGTATTTTTTCACATGGTTGAATATGGATTCTTCAGCCTGAATATGGAGATTTTTTCACATGTTTTTATTGTTTTATGTTTTGGAAGGTTTTAATGTCTATTTATTGATCCTTAATAGTTTATATTTGATATATGACGAGAATTTTTAGCCATGTAACGAGACCTGATAATATAAACATGTTATAAACTATAAATAAATTAAACGTAAACTTAAAGTAAAAATATCGCAAATTTACAATAAAAATATATCATTTATGTAAATTGCAATTTTTTTAAAGGCTAATTTTTATGCAAAATGTTTCAAAAATTGTAGTAAATATGTAAATTAGCATATCCAAAATGACTCGTTTAGGCAAAAAGGGCCTAGTTGTAGTCATGGTCAAATGCCAGCTCCGGGCCAATTTTGGTTCAGAATCGCGGGTTCGCATTTTATGTGAATTGAAATCGGCCCGGGTATATATATTGGCTAGTTCACTGAACGTGCGGTTCACGGATTAGAAACGACTCGTTGATTCCAGCCGAACCGACAACTTAAAAATATCAAAAAATAATAAAAAGTTTAATTTTTAAATCCGTTGAACCGCCTTTTTCGTTTTCCTTTTCGTATTGGAACCGAAACCGACTATTTATTTTGTGAAAAATACATAAACCTGAATCGGGCTGGGTAAAACTACGGGCCGGTTCAACCCGTTTGACATGTCTACCTAGCTATCACAGGTGTTCTGTCCAATACTTTTTATAATAAAAAATAATAATAAATATGAAAAAAAAAAGAAACGGAAAAAATGTCAAGATTTGGGTGATTTGTGCAGTATAATTACTCAATCAAGCAAACTGAGGTCATTGTCAACCAGATATTTTTCCAAATCGAGGACAATTGAATAGATAATTTGTAGATACTCCTTGAATTTGTCACGCCTATTTAAGGTGTAAAACCGTCATCACCAAAAACTTTGGAGCCTAAATTCTTTAAGCCAGAGTAATGGACAGATAATCCATTTTATTTTACTGCCCTTATATCTCGACGAAAATCTGGCAAAATGCATTTTAGTTAACTTCAAACTGTTTTACTATATTGGTTCTTTTACTATCTTGCAAAATGCATTTGAGTTAACTCTGAATTCAAAATTTGGACAATTTATATATATAAAAATAAAAAAAAAAATAAAGTGGACAANCATAATTTTTTTTTTTGTTTTGTTTTTGTCCACTTGTTTTTTTTTTGTTTTTTTAAGTAAAAAAATCTTCAAAATTTGGTAAAAACTAAGAAATAATATCAATATTGGATGATAATGAAACAACAAAACACAAATGTTCGAGAGACCCCATTGGGATAAATCAATAAAAAATGTATAATTATATTAAGAAAGGGTAAAAATACTATTTTGTCAAATAAAAATCAATTAAATTATTGTGTAAAAACAATTACAACAATTGAATATAAAAGAACTGCTCACAAACAATGCAATTTCAACACCATTGCATAAAAACAAACTAAAACAAAATATACTCATCTATTATATACAAATACAATAGCACACTTAAAAGATGTATCATATAAAATACAAATAAAAATAGCACAAACAAAACACACAAACAAACTTATTTGTTTTTATTTGGCCATTGTATGGGTCTGACTTTTAAGGCTCTAACTGGGATTCTCATAAGAGCTTTCATATATCCACTCATATTTGTCCTTTCTAATTTATTGTTCCAAGTACAGCTCAAAGTCCATTTATGCTAATATATTTTTAAATAATTCTGACTTGAAAAAAATTTAAATCTGAACCTGTTGATATTTATGTAACAAGTACATGTATCTCTCAATATTGTAATCATTTTTCAAATAATTAACTGGGGAACATCTCATTGTAGTGATCATACATTCATACTTAACCTGTGAACATATACAACTAAAATATTATAAGGCATATGAATGAATACTATATTTAAAATTATGAGCTATATTAACGGCCTATTATATTTTATAATTATATAATTATTAATAAAAATAAATAATATAATTTTAAACTATTTTACTTATATATAAATCATTATATAGATTGAATAAAATGATAAGAATAATATATTTTTACAAATTTAATGATCCTGTTCAATTAATTTATTGTAAAATATAAATTATTATTATTACTACTATTGTTTACGTGAATCTAAGGTACTTTCCATTAGATATAATTTGCTATTAAAAAAATTGCTTGATAAGATAAACTAAAAAAATTATATTAATTTTAAAATAAATATCTAGAAGAATTTTTTTTGCTACATAATTTTTAAAAGTGTATAACTTTCATAATACTTTTACTGTAAATTTATAATTAGTTAATATTAGTAGTAATTATTATATAATAAAATAATTAATTTTTTTATTATATTTAAATAAAAAAAAGAACAATTAGTTTCTACATTAATAAAAAAAGAATAAAAATCATTAATTCGATAGTCAATAATTATATTATATATATATATATTAATAACAGTAGTTACCCATGTAATTTACTACAACTACATTTGTGCATTTGTACGTTTAATAAATATACATATATTAATAGAATGTCATACCTTAAAAATAAATTATCAAGAATACATTTCTTAATTAAATTAGTTTGTCTTGCCATTAAATTGTGCTGAAAATCATAATTTTGATGTGAGTTACATTTCACAAATGTGAAATATGTGACCCTAGAAAAGCTCATCATATACTTTTCTTTTATAAAATAATAATTATTGCAAAAGTATATTTTTATTTCAAAAAATGATACATTTTATTCTTTCTCTAATCCTTTTAACTTTCATTTTCTCGAAAATAAAAAAAAGGCAATAATTTTTTTTTCTTTTTTCCAAAGATTCCCCATCTTGTTGGCAGGTACAAAATGTTGACATGAACAAAAGAAAAAAAGAACGAAAAAGAAGATTTAGTATGTAAAGTATTTTAAGTCTTGAAAGATACTAAATTTTTTTGATAAGCACTTCGCCATTAATAATAAAAAAAGCAGGTCCAAGGGATAATTTGAAGCATCTTCACAAGAGAGAGAGTCAAAGGGTCAATTTTCTTCCAGTGAAAATAATAAATATTACATAAACCTCCAAAACTTTTCTGGTCAGAATTTTAGGAAATTTGATTATGGATTTTTTTCGCCTTTCGCCATTATAAAGGTTTGCCAGTTTTGCCTTTTCTCCTCACCATTCTCAAATTTTTTCCCCAATCAATTTCCTTTGTTTTTCTCCGCTGAAGATGTCGGAGCCCCAGATTCCAGACCCTGCTGCCCCGACCGCCGACCCGGCCGCGGGCTCGCCGGTTGAGCTGCCGGCCGACCCTCTGTTGGGATCCGAGTCGGTCATCGAACCTGACAGTGCCGAACCCGAGACGGCGGCGCCGGAGCAGAAGCAGGAGGAGCAGGTGCCTGAAGACGAGGAGGAGCATATCCCGAATGTGGAGTTCGACCCGGCTGTGGCGATTGCGGCGCAACCAATTTCAATGCTGCGGCCAGGAGAGGAGCCAGTGTCTGTGGAGAAGACGCCGCGGAGGAGGAGCATGGAGGAGATGTCAGTGAGGCCGAGCTGGTTGCCGGAGGATTGGGAAATGAGCTTGAGGGTTCGTGCGTCTGGAAATAGTGCTGGATTCATTGATCGAGTAGGTTTTAATTTTCATTCAAACTCATTATTTTGTATTTGTTCTATTTATAATTTTGAGTTGAGAATATTCTTTTTTACTTTATTTTATCTTATATTTTTGCTGGCCCTGGGTATTATTTTTGGTGAACTATCTGGGGTTTAATCATGGTTGTTTGTTTAAGCTGTTTATTTTGGGATGGGTCTTTGTTTTTGAATGCTTCAAGCTGTTTTCTTGGACGGATCTTTGTTTTTGACTGCGTGTAAAATGTTTGTTATGTGTGATTCGGTGGATTTGATGTCATTTTTCTTTGAGGGAATAGGTTTTAGGGTTTATCTAGAGGGGTCTGTGTATGAAGTGTATAATGTAGCTCTGGCACAAGTTCAAAACAGTATACTCCCATGGACACCGAGAATTATGGGAAGATGAGGAAATATGTAGAATTCGAGATCATTGATTAACATGAAATTTGTTAAGTTGTTTTTTGAAGTCTCTGCATTGCGGTTGTCGATTTGCATAGACAAGCACATTATCCTGTAATTAATCATTTGTGTCGTTGGACAGTTCCATTCTCTTTCGTTGAATGTGTATATTGTATGCGGCAACCTTGTTAACGTCATGAACTAATTGTCTCTCATGATATCGTTAGTTTCCTAGAGTAGAAGTCATGAACTCATTAACAACATTGCTCATTTTCCTTCTATGGGCGCTCTTCTGGTTTAGTAGGTTTCATTGAAATGATTTGCGTATATGTTCGTTTCTTTATGTTTGACAAACGATTCAACTCATAAATTTTACTTTCTTTTTGTAAGAACATACTTGGATCACAGTAGTCAGTTTAGGAGATTGCATGTGGATTATGTGTGAGTCCACATGTGCTTTTGTCACTTTTATGTTTAGTTGTTGCTTCTTTATGTCCAAATATATTTCTTTTATTTGGGTAACCTTGAAAATCTTATTTTCTATCTGTAACGTGCCTAGGGATGATACTTATGCATGCATGGAGAAGCGTCTTGCATTTCTAAAAGACCAAAAAGATATTACATAATAAGTTTTTCGTGAATGTATTATGGTTAGATAAGCCAATGATTTGTGTTGGTGAATCTGTTGAGATTTTGTACCATTTTTGGTAAATTACTTTATTATAATTTCGTGTCACTTGTTAATAGGGTCGATGTTGAACAAAGGTCATGTAAATGGAAGCACGTGTCCTTTTCCATTGTTCTATACCTCACTGGTTCCGTGCAGCATAGTAATTGGTGGCATGATCGTAATATTATTTGTCTGGTTTTCGCGTACATTCTAATAATATCTTCTGAATAGGATGCCTTTTATGAATTGACATTTTTGGACCTTTCAAATATTCCAAAAAGTCCGTTTTTAATGTTGGCATGTTCCAAAACGACTGTTTTTAACGCTGTCATGCTGTATCTTTTTTAGGTATTTTGTATTGGAATAGAGCTCCTACCCATATCTCTTCTTCTTTTAAATGATTTGAATAACCCCATGACAAAATTAAGGGGAGAAGTGTTAGTTCTTTTAACAATTTTGTCTTTGTAATCTTGTTTCGCAATGCTCACGTGTACTCTGGCGCGAAGACCAGTGACCCAAAATAAGTTTCCAAATCCTAAGAGCTTCTTTATTGGTCGGCGGGCCTAAGACGGTGAGGACACAAGGATTTTTGGGCAAAAGAGGATTTAACATATTAATAACCTCAACAACTTTTTCGTTTTTCGAATCCCTTAAAAGACTCAAACTGTTTATCCTTGCCACGTGTCATTATCTGTAAATTATTTGGAGATTCTGCAGTTAACTTGGGCTTCCCGACAAATTTTTCTTATAGTGTCTTCCTTTTCTGTCCATCCTCCTTTGCTAACAATTCCTTAATATGTTCTATAGATTCTAAAAGTGCTTCATCCTCTTTTATTTGTGCGTCGGTATGTATCTTTACTTGCTTTCCTTTTGTTTGACAATTAAAGCCTTCTACATATGGACGTTGTTGTCAATTGCTGACAAATTTTTAGTTATCTATTTTCATTGCTCTTTATTCTCCTGTTACTAGGCTCGAGCTTTGACTAATTTCATAGTTATCTAAAATTCTGGAGTGTAAATGATGAGATGGGTTCAATCGAAGTATATACTTTATTCAGTGACATGTAAGAAAGTGATGTCTTGGATAACTTGTAGGGTTACGATTTCCATCTTGAAACTAAGGTTAGAATGAGTTCTAAGAGTATAACTTCGTGCTTTTTCTTTAAAATTTTTTAATTCAACTTGCAAATATACTTTTAGCTTTTTCTCCCATTGAATTACTCAGTTTTATCTTTTTCCATGAGTCACACAATAGTTATATCTCTGCTAAGTTCTTGAGCTGGCCTCGAGTGGATTTGATTTGAAAGTTCATTCTGTATTTGGTTTTCAATTTGTTCAGTTACCATAGGTATATACCTGTCTCTTCTTTTGGGACTTCAAGGTAACCTTGACATCTGATCTTATCTACATATTCCATGATTTAACTTGTAAATTTAATTGTTGTTTTATTTGCAAGTGTATGTATATTTGATGGTCTCTTAATGAATGTTTCTATTCAGTAGTTATGAATTTTATTCTGTGTGTCTTGTTTTGTTTGATGTGAATTGGTGTTCGCTTACATGTCATGTAAAGTTGATGGTCCTCAGGTTTAGATGGTTCTTGTTGAGGTCTGGTTTTCTGTTGCTAATGATACTTTGAACCAAGGGGTTTAAATTAAGAAGTAATTTCCAATAATCCATTTTTTAATGTATTTAAAGTTGTTCAATTATTGGGTATCGTGAGGTTAGGATACACATCAGGACACAAGGAGTATTGAGTTAATGGATTTTGTGAATTTTTACATTTCTAATAAATATCTACTTGCTTCACTGTTTTGATGTACCCTCATCAATCTGAAAATTGTGCAGTACTACATTGAACCAACTGGACATCGCAAGTTTCGTTCGAAGAATGAGGTGCTTCACTTCTTAGAAACGGGCAGTAAAAGGAAAAGACGTTCAACTCCTGGAGCAGCTTCTGAGGTAGGTTAAACAAAATTATTTCTCAGTTAAGGTTCAATCTCTAATATAAAGACCTCGTTTGCAAATGCTCTCCTTGGTAATGGTTATCCACTTGTCTCTTAAAATTACTACCAGCCCCTTGGCATTTGCTTTCCCGTGAAAAATTGGTTACAACATATATTAAAAAAGAAGGGGAAAAAATAACACTGCACATAACATTGTGTAATAATTCTTAAAATATATATACACGCACATACGTACATACATATGTGCAGCCTTCTGAGAATTCTGATTAAATGGTGACAGAGAATTTTCATTTTCTTATTTCGTCTTTTACACGGTTAAATGGTGTTCAGATTTACAATTGTTATTATTAATATTTTTTTTTTTTAACTTTATCAAAGAAAAACACTGGACCTTAAAAGTCATTTTCTCGACTTAATTGTGCTCGTATATATATATTATTATGCAGCCTTCTGAGAATTCTGGCAAACAAAACAAGTCTAACAAGAAAAGCAAGAAGTCTGCAGCTGTGAAACCTGATGCTACTCCTCTGCAGAATGATTCAAACGGCATTAATGCGGATGGTAGTGGGTAAGGACTGTAGTGTGTTAGATAGTAGTGCACATGACATGGGATTGCTGAAAAACTGTTGAGACCTCTAACTTAAGGCTTCTTTTATTTTTCGGATTATGTGGCCACATAATGTGGCCTAGATTGTGTTGTTGAATGGTAGATTATTTTTCTTCTTTTTTCACCTTTTCTGTCACCTGCACAAGAGCTTATATAGGACTCAGACTTCGTCTGTGTCTAGTGATTGTGAGCTCCCTTGGGTTCACTACTTTTCTTTTATAGGCAGGTTAAAAGGTATCTGTAGTTTGAATCTTTCTGAAAGCAGTCTTGCAGGATATATGTACTTTACTTTTTGGAAGATTAAATTAAATGATTCAGTGGATTTTTGTGATGACCCTCTTTAGATTTTATTTGAAAATTATCTTCTCATTTCTAAAACCCTCTTGATATTTGCTTCTTTTTCACAAATTGCACCCTACAAAACTTCACTGGGGGATTTTGACTTTCTTGGAAGTGTTGTGTGTAATTTGCTCTTCGTTAGGTAGATATTACTTATTAGACAGGTTTCGTTAGCAATTGAATCTTAAAAGAGAGAAAATGCTACAAGTATATAATAAATGTACATAGAGGTGTACATAACACTTACATTGAGTGGGGTCTACTTAATTTTTCATTTTTGGTGGGTCTCAATGTGAGTGTTATGTACACTTTTTAAATGATAATATTGACAATATAGACTTTGCTATAATAATTATATAGACTGTGCTATAATAATAATTTGTTTATTTAATTCATTAATTTTTTTTTAATTCATCTTATTATGCGTATAGTCTAAGTTTATAAATTATATGTCATTTAAATGTATCTATACTACTAATTTATTAGATTTTACCATTTGGGGGAGCTAAATTTTTAATTTTAATTATGAAACTAATCTTTCTTATCATTTTGCAGCTATATGTTTGATGGAGTATGGCTGGAAATTAAATTACAAAAAAAATAATTTTATTTTTTATATTGTAATGTAACATGATCTGTATTATAATGTTTGTATTTAATACATTTATTTATATTTTTTATATTATTCAATTCATAATGGAATAAAAAAATTTAAATATATATTTTCTGCACAACAATAATGACTGCCACGTTTATATATATAAATGAGAATAAGAAACATAAATGTGGGATTAACTAAAAGAAATATTTTTAATTTAGCAATTAACTAATTAGATTTAATTAAAAGAAACCTTCTTAAATGTGAGATTAGTGAGTAATTAATTAAAAAAATGTAACTCCTTTTGGAGGGCAAGTGAAAATGTTTTTATTAAATGTTTTATTAAATGAGATTAACTAGTAATTATATATAAATATATATATATAGATGTACGGCAGTTATTTAACTANCAAAAAGATGTATTTGATATAGTACTTAAAAAATGTAAATCGTTAAATATCTTTTTTTTTTATGTAATTTTTTTAAGTATAACATCTATATGTGTAATTGCAGGTTATCCAATCAATATAATTTTTTTAGCTTGTTTTTTTCAGTTAATTATAGTGACAAATTTTTATATTTTACATTAATTAAAGGTAATTATATTTTTTAACTATTCTATTATTTAATAGTTATTATTGAAAGGAACAAATTATAATTCACACTAAATGCTATATAAAAGTTATATAAGTATCAAAAGTAATATTGCAAAATTTCTTCTACAAATTATTTATTCTAATTTGTATTAATGGCATAGACAAGCACATTAAAATTACATAAACAGCAACAACAACAACAACAACAACAACAACAACAACAATATTAATATTTTTAACATTTTTCAAATAATTAATTTTCCATTACAGTTAGGATCCCTCAAAATTATAAAAATATATTTTCCATTACAGTTTATCCAATCAATATAGTGATTCATATATAGTTAAATAATTTTAAACTATTCATTTTACTAATGACCAAAATTTTAGAATGTGATATCATTATCTAACTTAACATTCTTTTATATTATACACATATATATAACTCATAATACACAAATGTACACAAGATCGAATGCTAAAAGTTATAATTTATTCCATTTTTCCAAGTTCTTAACAAATAAAATTTGTTCTCTCTCTAAATTCTCGCCTAAATCTGTAACCCTTCTTTGCAATTCTGCAACCCCCCTCCCCCCTCCCCCCCTTCCTGTCGTTAGCCGCAACGCCTCTTTTTCAGCCTTGTCGGGGCCGAGATCAGAGGCCTTTTCTAGCCCAACCGGCGGCCTTGTGGTAGAACGGGTAGGCGTCAGTCACGCTGCGCAACCCCTTCCCCGGCCAGGTAGGTGCGTTGTTCTGCAGTGTTGCCTCCAGCCCCCGGCCTACCGTTGGAGCCCCCTAGGCCTACTGTTATTCTTCGAGTTCGGACAGTGTCTCCCCTGCTTAACCGCATGGGGTCGTGCCCTTCTAGACATCGGTGTATGGGCTCCTCAGGCGTGGCTCATAGTGTCTACTCCCTAGATGTCCTCCCCCGGTTGACTGCTTCGGGAGCTCTGATCTGGGCTAAAGTCTCATCCTCGCGAGATGCGGTGTGGCTAGCCGCTAGTTAGTTGGCGGTTTTAAATTTAGGGCCTAGCGTTGTAGGTCTCCTTGGTTTTTTATTGTGGGGTTTGATTGTTGCAGGTTTAGTTCGATTGCTTATTGTAGTAGTCGTTGTGGTTTGCTGGCATGAACTATAAATTTTTTTTTTCTTTTTCTTATATGAAGTTGGGGAAATAGTATTCTGCTCAAGTATAGATTTGTGTTTTTAGTGTAGTGTGGGTTTGATTCTCCCAATGTGGGAGTCTAGTCTTACTTTGGTGGAGTTTTTAGTTTGATTGAGATCTAAAAATGCCAAAAGCCAGATGTTGTCAGACACTGCTGAATGAATGCTTGGACATTATTTCAGTGTGTTTTTATCAATGTTCTGAAAACTGGACCGGACCGGCCGGTTCGACCGGTTGAATCGGGAACCGGCCAGCTCACCGGTCCGAGTTGAGCTGTGGAACCGCGAATGGCTTAAACCGGTCATGAACCGCCTAAACCGGTTAAAAACCAGTTAAACCGGAAAACCGATGCCGGGTTGGGCAGGCCAACGGCTAGCTCGGGATGATGGCTTACTTGCATGTGGTAACAAAAGCTATCAATTAAATAGCATTGTCTTCTTTTTTCTTTTTCCAATGTGGGATTTCTACTAACTAGTCTAGCTTAGAATTTGCTCCTTTTGTCTTTATATTGGGCTTGAGAGTTGGGCCTATAAATTATTAAATTCACCTTTCTTTGTTTTTGAATTTGGACTTGGGCCTCTAAATGTAGTTTGGAGTGCAAACTTGTTTTAAATCAAATGCCCAATAATTGGAAAAAAAAAATCGTGATTTAGATCAACTTTTTTTAGATTGCATTTAATTGTTCATAATATTTTAATATATTTTAGATTGTAGTTTTATTGTTGAAAATTATGGGACATGTTATAAGGGATTAACTCCAATTTCAATGAATGATTTGCTTTCAAATTCTTATTTAAAATTGAATAAAAACATATTCTTTATTTTTTTAACTTAAATATAAATTAAAATATAAGAAAATAAACTAAAATAAGTTATCAACATTATTCAACATTGTCGGTTGTATCTATTATTGAACTATACACTATAAAATTAATGATAAAATATATATAATTATATATTATACATATAAAATAAATATAAAACTATATATTAATTAGACCGGTTCGACCGGCTCGACCACTGGTCCGAACAGTGAACTATTAAACTGGTAACTTCACCGGTTCGATGACCGGTCCGGTTTTCAGAACATTGGTCTTTATTTTTAGTCTAAGGTGTTTCCATTAACATTCCTCCCTAATCCAACCTTCTTGGTGGATCTATTGGGCTAGTTAGCTCTCTGGTCTTTTATTGTGTATTCCTTTTCTGAAGAGAAATGTTATAGGTACATAATATTGTACATAGAAGTGTCATTGAAAAACATATGTATAAAAAAAATCCATATGATCATAATTAATAGTGCAAAATTAACTATCTTTGACTTTCCATTTGGTAGTAATAATAAAATATTTTATATTACTACTATTCAATAAAATGCATAATTTCTGCAGATTTGATTATCGCAATCAACATTCTGTTTTATAAATTAAAAAGTATGCTGAATAAATTGTCTCATATTTTTCATTAAAAAAAAAATTGTTGGCTGTGAAAAAAAATATTATTTCACAATTATAAATATAAATATGATTAATTTCATTAAACAATTCATCTTTAAGAAAAAAGTGGCGGGACAAATTTCTGCATGATTATAGCATCAAAACATATCCAAAACATCAATATTTTAATGCATTAAAAACCATACTTTCAGCAACAGAAAAGTAATATTAAACGGAAAGTGGCAAAGTCAAAGAATGAGGATTGACAAGGCATTGTATGTAATGGCATATTGTTGCATAATATAAAAACATCAATTATAATTAATAATCAACAAAATAAAAGTCAAACCTATATGAAAAAATCAAAATTAAAAACACAGCAAATTACGTGGAACATTATTGGACACTATACAATATAGAAAGAAAAATAATTTGATTTTCCCTATCATTATCAACACATTCAACTTTTAGCAAGACATCTGCCTTTATATTAAAATCGATTTTTTGCGTAAAAGTTTTAAAAATAAAAATTTCTACAGATTCTTTTAAATATTAAATAAGAAATTCCTAATATGCGATAAATATATCTAAACAGATTTGTTATAAACTTACCTCATATTTCTAAATTTTGAACAAAATACTAAAAACTTTGAAAAACTTCGAGAAAGAATGAACAAAATACTAAAAACTAAAAACAAAATACTATAAACTTAGCAAAGTTTCACTTACTGATATGATGAGAAAGACGAGAAAGAATTGAACTATTTAGTGTTCAAAATCTGAACAAAATACAAAATAGTTACATATGTATGTTATAAACAGATAAGATATGAACAGATATGTTATAAACTTACATATATATTTGTTAGTAGAGCTGAACAGATCTGTTAGAAACTTACCTATTTTTCAAACCCTGAAAAAAATACATAAAAGTTTGAAAAAGTTCGACCAATGTCATGTTCTCTTCGAAAACGATTTCGAAAAACATCTAAAATAATTTCGGATTATGTATAAAATATAATATATCTTTGAAGCTTATTCACAAAAAATTTCAAAAAACGACACAGATCATTGAAAATAATAAAGAATAAAAACTACGTTTAACAAAAAAATTTTAAGCTCTTCATAGATTTGTAATATTATCGCCCGATTTTGACCAACCTGTTAAGATTTAGCAACACAGATTAAGAAATCGGGACGAATATTTATTTTTCGATCACTCCTGTTGG